GTACGAACTGTTAAAAATCTACCTTGATGTAATGAATTCATATTGATTACAGTATGATCATCTATCGATGAAACAGAAAAAGATATTAATTTAAAATTAATTTATTTCGATTTTCATACTTAATGGATTAATTATATCTTGTATTTGTCGTCCATCGACAAGAACTCGATAACCTCGAGCTGTTGTTGTTGTTAATAATGGTTGTTCCCATGATACAAGTAAAGTATTCGATTGTGGACCAGCTATAGCTTGTACACGTTTAGGTGGTTCAATTGATTCATCTAGAATAAAGAAAAAGACATAAACATACAATAAAATTTTATCATAGAAAAAAAAAAAATTTACCAAATGATGTTGTACGAAATTCAATGGAAGATGCTAATGATTGTTGTGTATTTATTATATTATTTGGTTTAGCTTTAATGGTTACTTTATGTACTGTATTTGGTAATAAACCCGATAATTTAAAACGATAAACTCCAGCTTTAAGTGTTTGAACTTCAATATCATTAACATATAATTTATGTACAATATCATTTGATGTTGGCCACCATGAAACAACAGCCGATGTTTGATTTATTCTATCAACACGTAAATCACTTGGGGCATATGATAAATCATTTAAATTTCCATTTGCAGCTGACATTGTTAACAATAATGTACATTCTTGATCACGCGATAAACCATGTTGACTTATTGTACGTATACTTATACGATGAATTTTTTCATTTAAATTTATATTTTCAATTAATGCACGTGTACGTTCATTAGCACGTATTGTTGTATATAATGAATGATCAAGTAATATTTGATAACCAAGAATTTGTATTGTTATTAATGGAGGATTCCATGCAATTAATATACTATTTGTTAGATATTTTTCAACACGAAGATTTGTAGGACAAGGAACTAAAAACAAAACAAGACTTTTAGTTTTTATTTTTTTTGTTTTTTTATAGCTTAAAAATATATTTACCATGTTTACCAAATGTAAGACCATTAGTTGTTGACATATCCGATGAAGTTCCATTTTGTGTTGATGCTACTAATATAAATAATGATTTGAATATGAAATTAAAATTTTTTCATTTGTTTTTTTTTTAATACTTTGTTTTCGATACATTGTTGGAGTATTGGTCAACGTGTTTGGAGTAAATACATCAGAATCAATACTTGTAGTTAGTTCACGACGAGGTGTCATTGTTTCTTCTAGCAAAAATAGTCAAATAAAATTTTTAGTATTGTGTTTTTTTTTTGTTTTGTTTTGTCTTTACCAGAAAATATTTTTCCAGTTAATCGTTGAATTATATGTCGAACTGTTTCAGGTAAATCATTTAGATTTGTTACTTTTTCAATAAAATTTGATGGTATTAAACCATAACGACCTTCTAAATTTCTTCCATCAAAAAATCCATCCTAAAATTTTATTAGCAAAAATAAAATAAAACATTATTTTTTTTTTTTTTTGTTTTTAATTCAAATGTATTGATTTACTTCATCAACATCACCATAAATAAGATAATATTCTCCAACATTTAATGGTAATTCAACTTCAGGATGATCATTTGGAGAACATTGTAATGGTTCATAAGAATATTTTGCTATAACTATTTGAGCTGTTTGATTATTTATATAAGATTTTGGTTTAATTTCTTGATTTTCATTAATTGATACAGATTGACTACCAGTTGATTTTAATAATGGTCGTTGTTGAACGGCTGGTGATGGTAGAGGAGGATGACTATCATCAGTTGGTGATGTTTGAGAATCAACCATTGTTGGTGTTGGCCAATAATGTGTTGATGAAAATGTATTTGGATGATTATGTGAAAGTATTGTACCAGTTGATGATGGTAATATTCGATCACGTCTTGCTTTTAATGATTCAAATTCTAAAAGAATTTCTTCATGTTTTAATGATTGTAATTCCGTTTTACGTTCAAGATCATGAATTTTTTCCTTAAAATGAATAGTGTTTTTTTTGTTATGAAAATTTAATTAAATACAAAAGAAATAAAATTATACTTCAAGTAAATGTATTGTTTCTTGATTTTCTTGTTTTGTTGCATCATGCATCTAGAAACATATAAATATAAAATAATAATAAGAATTGTTTCGTTTTATATAGCTAACTTTTTGAAATTGTTCAAAATCATCTTGTTTTCTTTTTAATTCTAATTTATTAACTTCATTTTCAACATTTAATTGTTTATGAAAATCATTTGTATCATGAAGAGATTTAATTGTTGATTCTAATTCATGAATTTTATTTATTAATTCTTCATTTTCATGTCGTTTTCTTTCATATTCTTCACATTTTGTTAGTAAATTTGTTCGATATCGATCACAATCTTGTGTTAACTATTCAATTGATAGAAAAAAAAATGGCAAAATGATATTTCATGATTTTCATTATTTATTTAAATATTTATTATTATTTTTTTTTTCTTGCTCGAACTTCTATGTTGTGTTAATGCACACAGTCATTACTAACCCGTTCATTAGTATTTGTTGCATTGCTAATTTCAGCGCGCATTTGCGTGTTTAGCATTGAGGCACTCTCGAGCTCTTTGATCTAGAGGGTAAAAAAAATGTATCACGAGAATAGAAACAAGAGAGAGAGAGAGAGAGACAAAGTAAGACGAGAAAGAAAAAAAGATGAATAGTGTAGTTCAAGTACTTACAAGGCGAGCATTTTCCTTATTCAGATTTGTTAGTGCCATTGCATGATCGTCCAATTTTTTCTGCTATTGACGTTAGAAGAAAGAAAAAAAAGCATAGAATAGAATAAAAAAAAAGGAAAAAGAGGATGGTTTTCCTCATCATGCGATTGTGAATAGGTCGGTCTACTCCGCTTCGCTGACATTGAATATAAAGCGGACAAGCAAGCTTGCTCTATCAGTTCCGGAAACATGATCCTTATTTTTTTTCTCTTGTTCATCTCACCCTTTATCTTTCATTTCTTCAATACTTTTTTTTTCTCTTTTCTATATGATATGTACTTATAATGTACAAAGGACTTACACTAAGTTGAACTTCCGATTCCAATCGTTCAACAGTTGTTTGTAAATCTTGACAACGATCTTCAACAGCATGCATTGTTAAAAGATCATTTTCTAATTGTGTTTTTCTTAAATCTGTTGCTTGAAATGTTTCTCGTTCTTCATTATATATTTGTCTTATTGCTTGTAAATCACGATTTTCAATTTGAAGATATTTTATTTCATCTAAACGTTTTTTTAATATTGTTTCATGTAATTCATTCATTTGATGTCTTTCATCACGTAATAAATCATTAGCAGCATGTAATTGTTCATTTTCTAAACGAATTTTTAAATTTTCATCATTAAGATGTTTTATATCATTTTCATAACTAATTTGATTTCCTTGATATTTTTCTTTTAATTCATTATAATTTATTTTTAATTCATTATATTGTACTAATAATTCATCATATTGACGACGTAAATCAGCTTGTTCAATTGAACGTGTACGATCACGTGTTTCAACTTGTGTTAAACGTGCTAATTCATTTAATAAATGTTCATTTTGATTTTTTAATTGTTCATTTTCACGTAAACAATATTCATTTGATGATTTTTGATTTTTATATATTGTTTGTAATTCATTAAAATGTTCTTCAACATCAATTAGATTTGTATATTTATCTTGAAGTTGTTTATATACTTCATTAAGATCAGCATATTTTTGAAGCTAAAAGATATTAGAAAATGGATTTTTGTTTTTTGTGGATTTGTTTGTCATTTGTCTCTTTTAGTTAATGAAAAACAGATTTATAAGAATAAGACAAAGAACAAAAAGAAATAGCTTAGATAAACTTGTCGAGATTGTTCTGAACTAATAGAGAAAGAATGCATTTTTGTCATAATCAAGGAAAAAAGCAAAATAATATAAATGAGATTCTAAAAACCTGTAATTTAAGTTTTTCAACATTATCTTCATCAGAGCGTGTCAGACGTTGCACTTCACTTCTTAATGCTTCATTCGTGTCTTGTAGTGCTTGATAAAGAAAGGGATCAATAGATTGTGTTGTTGAAGAATCTGTTCTTGAACGAGTATTCGTTGGTACCGTATAAGGTTGTTGTTCATTAATATTTGAAGTATTATGAGCAGTCGAAGGCTAAAAGAAAGAAAAAAAAGAAAGGAAATGATGCATGAACAGGAAAAAATTAAAATGAGAAAAATCTCTTCATCTATTATCTAACCTGTGATAAGGTATGTTGTAAATTTTGTTTTGACGTTCGAACATCACGAATAAAACCGGTAAAACGAGGTGATGATGAACTCGTCATAATAATTATTGTTTTTTTTTATTATTACGGTCAAACGAATCAATCTGTGCTTTATGTTTCCTATCGTTTTCTATAGTCTCGCCGTTCGTCTAAATTTGAGACTGCTACATACATGCGCACACACACATACACGCGAGCGTAAATAACTAATATGATTATCTATGGGAAAGAGAAGAGTCTTCTACAAACGGTAGTGATGTGATATAAAAAAAAAAAAATGTTCTCGTTTTTTCTCTCCTAACGGCTAGAGAAAATGAAAAGACGGAAAAAACGGAAAAGAAAACAGAACAGAAAATGAGCGACAGAAATAGTCAGAAAAAAAAGAATGTTCATCGACAAAACCCCAACGCTCGTGTGAACGCATGTTGATAAAGATGTCTTTCTATTTGCACTTTTTTTTCTCTCTTTCTCACATGTCTTTCTTCCAATACGATGAAGATAATCAGAATAAAGAAAAGGCAAGAAAAAGAAAACTAGAGGAACTAACAAAGAGAAAGAAAAATATGGAATTGATTCGATGAAGAAAGAAATTTTTCTTTTGAATATATACATTAAAAAAAGACATATTTTTGTTTCTTCTACTTTTTCTATCACGGAAATGAATCGAACGATGATGATAAGGAAGAAGACATCTTTCTACCTCAGAGACAACCAATAATGTAGAAAAAAAAAAAAGAACAGTTTCCGTTATTTTTTTAAATATGATACTTGATGACTTACGGGCGCATTTGTTCTCAACTTCAGCAATAATGATGACGTTGATGAGGATGAGGATGGTGATGATGAGGTTGTTGAAACTAAAAGACGTCGTTCAAGATATAATTTTTCAATATTTGCTTGACGTAGAGCTAATTCAAAAATATTGAACTATGAAATAAAAAAAATAATATAATTTTCTATTAATTGGATTGGGATTTTTTTTCTTTTACTTTTGGCAATTGTTCAAGTTGAATATTTAATTGTTCGATTTCTTGATTTTTTTGTTTTAATAATTTTTGATATTCAATAGCATCTTTGCTTGCTTGTTTAGCTAAAGCTCTTTTAATTAATTCTTTATCATGATCTTTCTAAATATGAAAAAGAAAATATTAATAATTTTGATACGATCAAATCTTTTGTTTTGATTATTACTGGTTGATCTTGTTTTAGTACTTCTAATTGTCGTTCGAATCGTTTTATACGATCATGTAATTCAATATTCTGTCGTTGTAATGTCTGTTCTTGTTCATCATACACATGTTGATTCTAATTTTATAAGAACAACAGAAAATAAGAATAATAAAGTATGATTAACTTCGAAAATTGAATTAACAAGTATATATATAAAACAGAAGAAATCCCTAAGCAGTCAGTTCTTCGTTGCTCCATAACACGTCGATAGCAATCATTCGAATTTCGCTTCTTTCCATTGAACAGAAAAAAAAAGGAAATAACTCAAAAAGAAGAAAAATATGTTTGAAATAGTCAGTTGATAGAGTAAAAAAATAGAAAATGAGTTATTAATTTTATATTCACTAAATATATGTAGTACGAGTTTTGGTAAAATATTACATTGGCATGAGAAAAAAATTAGAATTTTTTTTGTTAATCTTCGTTTTGTTTATTGCAGAATGAGCTTTTTTCCTCCCTGAAAGCAAGTGTATACACATTTTCATCTCAACTCTATAGAAACAAGATCATTCTGACAGATAAAAAGAAAAAGTAGATATACATATAAGAAGCTAGAATAAATGTCAAAAAAAAAACACATACAAAATTCACATTGTAGTTCAAGTGAAGAAAATAGATGAGTAAATATGCAAGAATAAGAGAAAAAGTTTGTACGATATGTATTTTGTTTAATCACTCGATTGTTGTTTTAAATATGCAATTAAATCTTTTCGTTCATCATCTTTTTTAAGTCCAGCAAAAATCATTTTTGTTCCTGGAATATATTTCTTTGGATCTTTCAAATAAGTCCATAGTGTATCACCACCCCATGTTATATTTTTACTTTTATTAGCTTCACTATAATTAAAACCTTGAACTTGACCAGTTTGTCGACCGAATAAACTATGAAGATTAGGTCCTTGTTTATTACCACCGCCTTTTTCGGCAGTATGACATTGAGCACATTTTGTTTTGAAAATTTTTGCACCTTTTTCTGGATCACCACCTTCCCATTCACCACCACCAGATGCTTCAGCTTTTGAACCACCTTTATCACCACCTTTACCGCCACCTGATTTTGCATCACTGCCACCACCACCACCAGAGGCTTCAGCTTTCGAACCACCTTTATCACCACCTTTACCGCCACCTGATTTTGCATCACCGCCACCACCACCACCAGATGCTTCAGCTTTCGAACCACCTTTATCACCACCTTTACCGCCACCTGATTTTGCATCACCACCACCACCACCAGATGCTTCAGCTTTCGAACCACCCTTATCACCACCTTTACCGCCACCTGATTTTGCATCACCACCACTACCACCAGATGCTTCAGCTTTTGAACCACCTTTATCATCGTTTTTACCACCACCTGAAGCGCTATCTTTCTGACCACTTTTATTACTACCACCTGGTGCATCTCCTTTTACAGTACCAGGTTTATTGTCATTTCCACCTTGTGCATCATTTTTTGAGCTGCCTTTATCACCACTACCTGAATTATCTGCCTTTCCACCACCAGATTTATTACCACCACCACTTTGTGCATCATTTTTTGAACTACCTTTATCACCACTATTCGTATCATTTTTACTGGCTTTGTTTTCTTTGTCAGCTGATTTTCCACTACTCTGTTTTGTTTCATCACCAGCCATTATTTGAAAGTAATTTTTGAATTCAGTACTGATTTATGGATAAAATAGCAAATAAATGTCTATTCTGCGCAAATGCGTATACTTATCGAACTAAGAATGAAAGAGAAGAACAACAAAAAAAAAACAAAACGGGGTATGGAGGGATAAAGAAAAAGGAATGACGTCAAATCAAGGTCGATGTCTTGAATGAATCATCTATGACTCAATAAAAAAAAACGAAGATATCACAAAGTAATACACATAGACAGTAACGAATAAAAAGCAGAATGCGCAAAAAGAAAAAAAGAAATCTTTATTTGACTTACGGCTGAAATAACAACATCAGGATCACTGCTTCTTAAAACTTGTATTGGAGCAATTTTTTTATATGTATTTGCATTACTACTATCAACACTATTATTTATTGACAAATTTTTCATTTGTTCTATATCATGCGATTGTTCAGAAATACGTTGATCACGTACCATCAATTGTCGTTGTAAATAACATACAAGATCTTTTTGATCTTGTTTACAAAATAGATTCAATTCATGTTCATATTGTAGACGAAGTTTCGTAATTTTAGCTGATTTATCAAGGTCAGATTTACATTTGACCTAAAGCAAACAAATCATCGATAAAAACAAAACGTAATAGCAGTAATTTTCTATTCATTTTCTATCGACACATCTATTTAAATCGAACAAAAATGTATATCAAAAATTACTAAGCGATTCGATTAATTAAATCATTTTTGAATATTTAAATGTAAGTAATATTTGTATATAAATATTAGGAGAAAGGTATAGAATAAATGAAAAAAAAGTAAATATATGTATCTATATTGATTGATTGCTAAGGTTCGTTTGTGGAAAAAATGATTAAAAAAAAGAAGCAAACTAATCGTTTGTATTTGTTTTGTATTTCTATGAGACTTACTTTATAAAGTGTTTCTAATTGACTTTTTGCTTGTTTTACTGTTGTTAATTCACGTTTAAGTTTATCAACTAAATTTATCAGTACTACAGTTGATTTATCTTGTGGAATAGAATTTGTATCATCATTATTATTAATACCATTTGTATCAATATTACTTTTATAAGAAGAATTTAATGATGATGGACCTGTTTCACATGTTGATCCTGACGATGAACTTGTTGATGGTGTAAATAAATTAATTGATTGTGAATGAGTTTGATGATTGAAAAGTGTTTTTGTAAGACTTGTTGTTTTCATCATTTTGATTGTTTTAGTTCAAATCATGATTATCTATTCATATCACATATTATTCATTGCCTATGTAAAACAGAAAAAAAAAGAAACCAATAGAGAACATCATCTGTCAATGAATTCGTGCATGTACATTTTTATATTGTTGAATGAAAAAAAAAAACTCGCGAGAAAGAACGAATGAATAGGGCGACAAGCGAAGAAAATCGATCAGATCCGATGTCAAAAAAAGAGAAGCATAGGAGAAAGAAATAGAGACATAAAAAAAAACGTGAAAAGAAAAAAGATTCACCTGTTATATATATTCCTGAAAATGATTGATAAATATAATGATGACTGACATAATGATACGTCATCAATGATAATAGTAACGTCAGTAAAAAAAAACAGAAAATGAAAGACAAATCATACATATGTGTATATATGGATTCATAGAATTCATTGAAGAGGAGAAACCTCATTTAAATAATGACTTGACTATATAGTACAATAAGGAAATGATTAAAGAACAAATTTTCAAAAAAGAGCTTCTCAATAAAGTTTTTTACTATGCATAAGAAGGTCATTACCTTGAATAGATTCTCTTAAATGAACAAAACCAACCGCAGGGCACTGTATATATGTATGAGTATATATGCATTTATTTTTATATGTATGTATGCAAACAGATGGGATCAGTGAAGTTGATACTGAATGGTAGTTTTTTTTTTCGCCATTTTTACTTCCATTACATATAGTTCTATGTATAAGAAACCAGCTCATATTCAACACTCTTGACAAGTATCGGTGATGCTCATTTGTAAATTTTACAAAATAATAGAAAGAGAAAAAAGTGATTCACATAGGGAGGTCACACATATTTATATATCTATATCCATATTGAGCTTTAAGTGTCATTTGTTAAAACAATCAGACACAAAATATGAGCATATCTAACTCACATACTTTGGAATGAAGAGTAAAAAAAACATTAAGGATTTGTAATTAAAAAGCATGTGATGAAACCAGTCAAATGAATGCTTACATCACTATATTCAGTGAAAATTGAGTAAGTTATTTTTTTGAATGATGCTAAGTCATCAGTGTTCGTTTCTACATGAAATGAAATACGAGTAAGGTATCACACATCTGATTTGATTTTAAAGAGTTTTATTGATTGATTGATCAATTGATTGAGTGTTTTTTTTTAGTTTTTTTTTTCGTTCGCTCGGTTTGACACATTACGGTTTTTCAAGATTTTTATTTGCTAATAATTGAACGAATTAAAATAGAAAAACATACTCATTACTTCTCAAAACCAGAGAATAATCGATTTTTCTATGTATTTGGTTACTGAAAGATATCTTCATGCTTACTAAATCAGACATTTCCGAAATGATTTCTATTTACATTGGCGCCACCAGCAATGCATAGAAATAATATTGGTAAATAAACCTATAGAAAAAGTATTGAAGCCTGTAAACCGATTAATTATGAGAATGTTCGAGCTCGTATTGATTGTTCATGAAAAGAACGTTATCAAATATAATAGACATAAATCAACACTAAATGTTCGAATTTATATTTCTATCGTTTAACTTCAAAGTCAAAATTATTTGATCATTTTATTCAATCATTTATTCTCTAGACTTTTATCGTTATTTTGATTGCAGATAAGTAATGAAAAGATGGCTGAAGGAACGACTCGACGTACAACAACTACAGACGATAATTCATCGATATCAAATCGATTAACACGTACAACAATACGTGAAGCAAATAATCATTTACAAATGTTATATGCACGTAATCAAGAATTAGAACAAACAATTAATGAACAAAAAGAAGAATTACATCGAAAAGATCTTGAATATAAAAAAATATCTAAATCAAATCAATTACTTGAACAACATTGTCAACAATTACAGGCATTACTGGATGATAGAACTCGACGATTATATGTTTATGAACGAAAAGAAGCATTATTTCGAGAAACACTTGAACTAAAACCAGCTATTGAATCATTAGTTGATGTATTAAATACATTTGAACAAGTAGATAATGCATCATCATCATTCATCGCAATTAATCCTAAACCACTGCAATTTATACCATCAACTACTAGTAAAAAGAACGATAATGATGTTAATCATCGAACTGATACAGTTTAAATTTAATATGGAAATAGTAGATAGACTTCCATTGTATTAAATTTTCAGTCAGATTTTTATTCTATTTTTTTTTGGTTGTATGCTAATATCATTTTCTTTTGTTTTGCTGTTAATATTAGTTATAAGAATAAAAATAATCTAATGCCCTGTGGTTACATTCTTCGTTATGAAAAAGTACTTATTTTGCATTTCTAAGACTTAATAGCAAATGATAGCTGTATTTATGTTCATTTTAGCTTTTTTCTTAATCTGTCTAATCTCTTACAATATGTGTTCAAATCTGTAGGTTTAACAAATAGCTATATCATATTGAGTAGAAATCGTCATTTAAAAGTGCATGCTTTTTATTCATTCATACTATTATTTTCTCTGTAGATTTCTAAATGCTTATACAAACACTAAGAAATCTTCTTCTTTTTTTAGGTTAGTAAATTCTTTCGTAAGTCGAAAAGCTAGTTGTCCCTCTTATTTATCCTTAAAAAAATATTTGATAAGATGACCTTCTATCGAATACCAAAAACAGCGTCCTTCATAAGTATTAAGAATAACACAAAAAAAATCCTACCTATACCGAAGCAATTCAATCTCTAACTAATCAATCCACTGAATGAAACGAAACATCCTATTTCTTATCAATCTATTTTATAATACTCGTCATAATCTATGTCCATAGTCTTAAGAGAAAAAAAAGAATTTTTTTTTTGCTTTTGGTCACAAATGCATTGTGTATTAATACAACAATAAAACATTTCTTTTCCTCTTATATTCTTTCTTTTTATCATCAGCATCATTCTGACTATATATATATATAACAAAAAAAAAAACGAGGAGTAGCGAAAAAGAAGAGGTATACAATTCAAAAAAAAGAATGAAGGCCGAACATGAGTATGTGAGGTTCTAGAGATTTATATAAAAAAAAAACGAACGAACGACGCAATCATAATCCATTTGAGTTGTTGGAAAAGTAGACTTCAGTAAATAAGAATAATAAATACACCAAACACTGTTCACACATTTCGTTGCTCGACAGAAGTTTAAAAAAAAGAAAAAAAAACGAAACAATCTATATACAAACAAAAGTATTATTAATTAACGCATACGATATTGAATAATATTACTCTGCTTACATCTATTTATATTTATATATATATATATTTGTGTGTGTGTGTGATAGAGAGAACAGAATCAATATCACATATATACTCTTCGAGTTGAAGAACAACAATGAACTGATTTGAGATCGAATACTAAAGATGATGATGGCAACAGTATTATTTTTCGATAAAAAGAAAAAAAAACGATAAACAACAAGAAAGACTTTTTTTTTTATATATATATCGGATTTTCTTGTCCAGTCAATAGACGATACATTTGAGTTGGCATTGTTTTCATTCGAAGCTAAAACATAAAATTAAATTAATTTTAAAGATTTAAAATAAAATATAGAAATATAAATTAACATACTTCACCAACTGAATTTGATAACATACTAACTATTCTTTCATGTGGTGTAGCTACAACACTTTGTCCATTAATTTCTATGATTCGATGACCAACACGTACACCACCTCGTTCAGCAATACCACCACGAAGTAAACTACAGATCTAAAATAAAAACAAATTCGATTATTTATATTTAATATAAATGAAAAATTATCTTACAATGCCATTTTGTACACTAAAACCAAGCTAGAAAAAGTATAATAAACATTTTTTATGGAAAGTTTGAAATGATTATTCAAAATTTTTACTTGATATTTAGTATCTGGTCGTCGAATCAATACTTCAACAACTGGTGGACAAGGAACAACGACTAATCGTACAGTTGTAAGATGTTTAACACTCTAAAATAAAATTAATATGAAGTTTGATGTTATTTTCTTTTTCAATATAAAAATATAAATTCATTACTTTTATTTGTGTTTGACAAGAAGATAACGGTAAACCAACTAAACTAATTCCATTAATGGATATAATCTGATCACCAATATTTAAATGTCCACATCTAATCAACAATAAAACAAACATATTGAAATAATAATCTACATTTCTATTTAATGAGAAAAGTTTGCCAGCTAGTAAATCGTGAATATGTACATTATGTAGATTTAGATGAACTATTAATAACTTGAAAAGAGCTTGTATTCTTATCGTATTGCTTCGAAGATACCATACTTTCATAGTATTTTTAAATGAATGTCATGATGAAAAAAAAAAACTAATTCTCGACTTTCAACTTAAAATTTTGCATAGAGAAAGGTTTTAACGAAGATAGTTTCAGATCTTTTGATTTGCATCTATCCTAAAATAAGAACATCAAACAAACTAGTTTAGTTCTAATGATGTAAAAGACACATTATTACCATTGTTGTCCCTTAGAATAAGAACAGTGACATTCACAGAAAATCTATTTCTGTTAAGGCGTGTCTCCATGCAGAGCTTCAAGTCAAAATTCAGTTTTACTGTTATCATGACATTCATTTAACAAAATGTCGTAAAATTGCAACAATAAATTAAGTGTATCAACTCTTTTCAGGGTTTTAGAGGTCATTTAGGTCTATATAATACATGTGACGTCAAAACAAATCAAAAGCAATTGATTAGTTAGAAGACATTCGTTGTAAGACACTACTATTCTCCAATGAATTCTATCTTCTATAGTTAATATACTTATATTGATTATGAAAGAAAGTTCTTTTTATTTTCTACAACAAACCTTGCTGCTGGTCCATTAGGCATCATATTTGCGATAACAACTGTTGGTAACATTGAACCCCAACCACTTTCAACAATAACAACACCAAGTGGTTCATTTTTCGATTTTGGAACGATAACCTAAAGAAAAAAAATTTAGAAATAGAAAAAGAAAATGAAAATAAATGTTTGGCTTTTCTTTTTTTTACTTCTTTTTGACATTCTTTTTTTGAAAATCGATCTAATTCTTCATTACCAATTTCTTGTTGATTAAGTACTTCTTGATAATCAATATCACGTGTAAAACTTGGATCATCTATACCATTGGCTTTTAAAAATTCAACATATGCTACTTGAAATGCTTGTCCAATGGAATGAGCTATTGATTGAGCCTTTTTTAATAGATATTTTTAATGATTAGTTTTGAAATTTTTTCTATTTCAACTCACTTCATCAGATTCAAAAACATGACAAATCATTTTTTGATTAATTGATACAACACGACGTGTACTTGTTTCATTTGTATCATCATTTCCATTAACATTATCATCAGTATGTTGTAAATAACGTCGTTTAGCCATTAGTACAACAAGATCACCAATATCAGCTAAATTTATTTAAAAGAAATTCAGATTTTATTTATATTTAGTTATGAAAAATATCTCTGTTATATTGATTTAGAGAAATATATACCAAAAGAGTAAAAAAACAATAAAATGTTGCAAGCACTCAGAGGAGGGGGAGTGAACAAAAAAAAAAATAAACAAAACGCTGAAACTCTGCTGGAGACCATGAAGAGTCACTTTCTCCACATATAAGATTATGAATATCTTTTATCACAAAAAAAGATACATCTAGAATATAATAACGAATAATGTCAGAAATAATATCTATACTTTTACAAAAATAGATGAGTCAGAAAAAAAATGATACTAAATAGCATACATACTAGAAACAGAAATTGTGTCGACGTAGGCAGATGAAGAAAAAATTAACATTCATACCCTTCTTTATAAATGTTCTGAATTAATAGGGTCATATTGATCAGATGAGATTATTATTGTTTAACTTTATCTTACTGATCAGTTAGCTTTTGAGATAAAAATATTATCTGCCAGATACGTGCCATCTGAGACTCATAAACACTAACTTTCTACCATTCGTTTCATATTAATGTGTTTAGCAATCAAATGTATCTTTTTTTGGTGATCAAAAGACAGTTTTTTCTACGTATAATCTATTCTTTATGATTGAATCGTCGTGATTGAGTGACTACATTGTTTAAGATCTAGTCAAAAAGTACTGGGTACAAATCTCAGTACTTGCAACCATGCAATGACCTTGAACAAGTTACTAAAAGCTATTTGTCTTGGGTCACAAACATCTGATAGGATGCGAACTGCGTCAAGAGATGTACCTGCTCTTATGGTTAATTAATGTTTTTGGAACAACGCAAGAACTCTTCGTTAGATAATCCTCTGTCTAGAGTCACAATTGTTTATAATTGTAAGGAAGAGTTATGACGAAGTATCTTGTGCAGATGAGATCAAAAGAGTTTCCTTACTATATAGATGATTAAACCTATATATTTAAATTTTCTTTCTTTTATCTTGTTCTTAATCCGTGTGTCATAGATTTTTTTGCTTTTCTGCCATATTTGTAAATGTCATGGGTTTTCCCTTTCTCTCATACATATATGTGATGGATATGACCTTCCTTTCTGCTGTTCTCTCTTGAACTTTGTTTTATGGATTTTCCTGTCTTCTTCATAATCTATAAGTTTTTTCACCATATTAATGCTTTATATATATTCGTTACATTGTTATGGAGAGGAAATGCAGATAAATATACATATATATATATATATATTTATAGAAATAAAATACAAGTGGGATTAAGATCTCATAGGAAGATGTCGGACTATTGAATATGCCACTAGGTAGATGAATGACAGAAATATTCTTCCTTTATGACTATTTTATTACAAAAAAAAAACAAGTAATTTTCTTTACTAACCAATATAAGATATTGATCTTAGAGAATGATCCATTAGAATATCTTGTAAATCAGTATTTAAAACCATAATTTTTTCAGTTGATATAAATAAATCAACTTCTACTGATGGTTGACTTTCACCTTGTGGTGCTTTTATACGTCCAACAGCTTCTTGTGCTTGCATCATACGTGATGCTTTAGTAGGATTTCCTTCGGCAAGTAATTGTGTTGAACCAAGATAACGACAACGAAATAAAACGCCTTCAATAAGTACTGAAGAATTTTCTGGATCAACAATGGTTCGAGTGAGAACTAAAAATACATTATTATTAAATATTTATTATTTGAAATATATTTTTATTTGAATGACAACATGCATTAACAAACAACAATAACAACAACAACACCAATAATAACAATAACAAATTTTTCGATTACTTACAAAAGAGAAAAAAAAATAAAATTTTAATATCAGATTTTTTTTTGTAAAATAGAGAAAAAACAAAAGATTTTAATTTAAATAAAATAAAATAAAAATTTACCTTCTTGTGTTTTAGGTTTATTTGATGGTCTTGAAACAGCCTAGATAGAAGAAACAACATAAGTTTTTTTTTTCTTTTTGTTTTGTAATTTATTTTATCAATATTTAAACATACAGCATCACGAATAGCTTGATTTTTAGCATGCATACGATGTTCAACACCAAGTAATTTATCTGTTTCTTCATCAGTATCATAATCTAAATAAATATAATTTTATTATTATTTCTTCAAAAAAATAATAAATGATCAAAAAAAAAATGAAATCAAATCATGCTTGTTTCTAACGACAAAATTAAAGCAAAAATGGGGAAAAATAATAATTAAAAATAACATGCGACAACAAACCCTTTTTTGGTTTTGGTTTTATGTTAACATTTCCTTCATCTAAAGTTTGGTGTTTTATTTGTTTCTTTTAGTTATTAAAAAAAACGAAAAACAAAAAAAAAACAAGACTCATCATTCTTACCTGTTTGACCACTCGAAGATTCATCATTATTAATTTTTTGTTGTTGCGAATTTGATTCATTTGTTGAACGAGTTGTTGTTACAGGTTGAACAGTAGTTGATGATGACGATGATGGTGGTGGTGGTGGTGGACGAATATAAAATGATTTTGTTTGAGATTCAAGACCATTTGTTGTTGTTGATTTCGCAAATTGTCGTTTATGTGATGATGTTATTAATGATGAATGATTTTGATCATATAAAAAATCACTTTGTGTAGATTGATGACGACCATTTGGTTTTGATTTAATTGATGCTGATTGTTCATCACCACTTAGATTTTCGGAATCTGATAAACCATCTTCAAGTACAGGCATACTTGCTGTTGTATTTGATTTTTGACTTTCAAATGAAATAATACTATCAGCATCATTTGTACCAGCACCATCCGATGATAAATCTGGTGATAATTTTGATAAACTTCCATTTATATTATGATGATGTTGAAATGTTTGTAATGTTGATTTTTTATTTCTATGTCCAATTGATATTGAATCTGATGATTTTATTGATTCACCACTACCAACAGGTGAATGTTCACCACGTTCTTTTGTTGGAGTTGTTAATGTTGACGAGATATGATCTAAATAATTTAGATAAAGAAAAAGAAAGAATGAATACAGACAAAAACAATCATATAGAAATTATCAAGACACATATAAACAACAACATTGAGAACGATTAATTATCACATTCTCACCACTATCTCCATTAGTTCGGAATTGACGTGATGGTGATGATGCTGAGTTTTCATATAATGTTACAAATGGAAGTGAAGTTATTTGATTAAGATAGAGATGTGATAGTATCATTTGTTGTTGTTGTTCATTTAAATTATTTAAACGTGGATTAATACGATTTGAAAGTTTTGTATTATTTATTGAATTATTAAATACATCAGTTAATGATTGTGATTCTCTAAATAAAGGTGCATTATTTGTCGTACCTGACACTGTTGAATGTTCTTGTAAAAGTCGAGCTTGTTGTTGTTGTTGTTGTTGTTGATGATTATAAAAAGCAGATAATCCTTGTGGACCATAATGTTGTTCAATAAATAATGGATCATATGAAGGATAGAATGGTGGCAAACCATTGGTTGGTGTTGATGTTGTTGCTGATGGTGTTGATAGATAAGGTAAATAAAGTCCAGGATGTTGATGAGCAAATGGATAAACAGTAGGAGGCCATGGTTGTTGTCCATAAGATGGAATAGATGGTGAAGTTAAATCAATATTCGATGATGGATGATGAATAGAACGATGATAATTATGTCCATTTCGTATTGTTTGTTGTTGATCTTCATTAGCTGAATCTGTATTTATAGAATCAGGTGTCATTTCACGTGATGATGATGATGATTGTTTATGTATTGTATTTGTTGTAAGTGGTGTTGTTTCACGTGATTGATGACCATTTTTAATATTATTAGTTGATGTTGTACTATCAAATAATTGTAGATCATTCTGTGTTAATTGTGATGGTTTTGTTGTTGTACGACGAACTTGTGTAACTATTGTTTCAATATTTTTTTCTAATGCAGCATCAACACGTTTTTTTCCAACAGGATTAGATGTAGATAATGTTCGATTTTGTTGATGTTCATATTGTTCTTTTAAAGATGATGTCATTGATATAGGTTTAGCTAGACCGGGACCATTGACAGGAGATGAACGATCAGATATATGTTGATTTTCACCTGAGATTAAGAAAAAAAAAAGAAAAAAAAAAGGCAAATGATGCATGTTAATGATTAGATTGATAATCAAATTATTTTTTTTTATTGTTCTCTCTTGGGAAAATGAAATACTAATGAGTATATTTATATTTAAAGAAACTAGAATGATCGGTTTTTTTTTTCTTTTCTTAAGGTTATCTAACATTTGGAATAATCGTAATATTTGAGTACTTATATAATCATGATGATGACAAAAAAAAAACTGTTAGCTGATAGTTTATTTGCTAACTATTGTTTTCTATCTTACGGAGAGTATGATGACTTAATGGTGATGCTCTGTCATCAGCTTTTGTTGTTGTGTTGGTGGTGGTTGTTGTTGTTGTTAATGCTGATGTTGTCATCGATAATGATCTATTATCGTCAGAAGTTGTAACCATTACAGACGATGACGATTGTTGTTGAGGAACATTTTCATCAACCTGTATAATAAAGAGAGGAAGCAGGTGTTTACCCTTAAGTAAATACATATTCTTAGTCTTCTTTTATCGGATTTTTTTTCCCATTTACTATTATCGAACTCCTAACAGCCTTGAATCGTTAATAGCATTGATGACATTTTGTTCTGTTCCTCATGCCACATAAACTTCTACCTCAACATATATATGTGTCTATCATTTTTCTCAAAAATTATAATCATGTCTGGTCAAAAAAAAAGCAAACAAAAGCAATGAAGCAATTATGAGAATTACACAGACAGAAGTCGCATAGTTTAGTCTTAACAATAGATGGATAGATGGTGAAGTGAGAGAGAACACTCTTGGGTCGACGCGTCTACACAACGATCAACACATGCAATTAGAAGGATGGGTTGACTATATACACTTGTTGTGTTCACTCTTAACTAGAAGACAGACAAAAACGATTCATATTTTTCAATTACATATAGATCAATTGTTTTTCTTTTATTATTTCATTTGAATAATCATGCAAGTTAGTGACTTTTTTTTTATTAGTAAAAAATACTTTCTTAGTTTAAAGAATCGAAATAGACGAAGAAGAAAAAAAACTCACATGACGTTGAGTATGACGATGATGATGATGATGTTTTCGACGAGGTTTTGCCCCCGTCGTAGTTGTAGAAGTAGGATTAGTTGATGATAACGAAGGCATATCTTATTTGTATTGACTCATAGAATCTCAAGATATCGCTGCTTGTATTATTATCGTTGTAGTGGAAAAAAAATGGATGGAAAGTAATACTAGACTGCTGTCTCAATGCCAAAACATATAGTTCGTTCGCTCTATCAATCTCATTTCTCATTTATGCCTATCTTTTCTATTTCTCACTGGCTTGTTCTTCGTCTTTTCTCTTTCTCTCTCTATCTTTCTGTATCTTCCCTTCTCTTTCTTCTGTGCTTGGAAACTATCCTATCCATCTGTCAATATAAAGGATGGGAAAGAAAAAGAGAAGAAAAAAGAAAAACTTCGTGAAACACATCGAAAGCAATAGAACTTTGAATGCGAGTAACGAGTAGCAAGTGCCAAAGAAAGAGATAGAAACAACGTCAACTACGAGATGGATCAATCAGACGATGAATTCTTTTTTCGCCAATCTATATGCTAAAAAAAAAAAAAAAGTTCATGTCCTCATCATCAATGAACACAATACGATGGCGGCGTCAAAAAAGACAGAAAAGAAAAAAAGACAACGAAAGAGGGGAAAATGAATGACACGCGATTAACATAGAAGATCAGCAATATTTTGAACAATCTCAATACTAAATGAGGAACAAAACAGACAACGGAAGTAGAATATTTTTCTCTACTTATCATTCGTCAATGAGAATGACATTCTTCGTTTTTCTTCTTTCTTTTTTTAATAATACTGCCAATAGCAAGGACAATAGATTAGTTTAAAGAGCTGGACATAAGGCAGCAATGAATATAGAAATAGGGAAACGATAGGATAGATAGACAGATGTGTAGACATGCGCATGTATATGCATCCAATATATTCATCGAATCGACACTAATTGATGAACACAAGTAATAACAAAAAAGAAAAATACCAATGCGAAATTTTTTGACAACCAACCGTAAAATTTTCACAAAATATAAATTATATCTTTATTTGATTTACTATCTTATAGTAACAAAACAATATCTAATTTTCTAGATTTTTCTATTTATTTTTTTGTTTTTTGTTTTGAATCTATTTCAATAGATTATTACTTGTGATTTTAAATATTCGTTTGTATCAAGATTTTCATTTTCATCATTAATTATTTCTGGAATTGGTGTTTTAGATAATTCATGATTATCTAAAAAAAATTAAAATTTTTTTTTTTCTTTTGTCATATATAAATTTATAATATGATTCAAACCTTCTTCAATTGTATCATCAGTTGATTGTTCAAGATTATTTTCATAATTAACGACGAATTCTTTATCATCAACATTGTTCTTTTCATTAACAGTTTGATAATGTTGATGTTCCATTTCGTCAATTATTTATTCAGTTGCAACCATTCATTCACATATGTGTGACGAAGTGGCTAAAGAAAAAAGAATAAAAAAAGAACCGGATTAAATAGAATATACTTTCAAAGAAAGTGACTAAGTACTTTCTTTAACATAGTCCTCCGGGATAATGTTAGATTATGGCATAAAGAAAAAAAGGAAAGAACGATGAAGTTGATTTTAATAGTTTGCGACTTGCTGTCTTGTCTTACTCATATTCAATCATACAATAAATTGATCAAATTAACTTTTTAACTAATACTTAACAAGATGTGAAATGAACAATTACAAACAAAAAAAGAAAAAAAACGAAATGTTAAAAAAAATAAAGGAAGCTTCATTTTTTTTTCTTTAATTTTGAAAAATGAATAGAACAATACTATAATAGCACGTGGACTACTTGTGGTAACTAATAATATGCGTAATAATGACGCAAAAAAGCAGAGTATAGAAGTAATAGTAGAAAATAAAAGAAAAAGAAAAAGTAAAAGAATGAAAAAATAACGAGAACGAGACACATTCCGAATCTAATACATTATTATAAGTTATCGTTTTACTTTGCCTTGTGTTTATTCGTAGGTTTCTTTTCCTTTTATATGTTTCTCAATGCTTTTTTTTCTCTATCTACTAGGACTAATGATGTTGATGATACCATTCCAATGTATTCTCATTCTTGCACAAACGAAAATCTTGCATCTATGCATATGTATGTATATATGTAGTAGGCAGGAGGGCATTATCCATTTTTTTTTTATTATTTATCACATAAAAAAAGAAATATAACAAAACAAATGAATGAATGAAGCTAATCTCACCAAGTATCATAATCGGGTTTTAACTTCATCGACATAGGAAAAGAGAATGATGAAAGTAAAAGCACGAAACGGAAAAAGAGAATTACAGGGTGGATATATATTGCGTGTTCAATGACCAACAGATAGTAATTTTATTCTCGTTCTCATCTTGACTGGCTTCTATCATTGACTGCGTGTTTTACACAGTATGAAAGAAAAGAAATTAAAAAAATAATATCAATAAGAGAAAAATTCAATGAGTAGTTCTTGTGTGTTACACAAGAGAAGAAAAAAAAACATGCACATATATATATATGTATATGCACATATCGGTAAATGGCTGGTACCAAGAAAGAGAAAGAGAGATGAAATAAAAAAATGTCTATCTCGCTGATTTAATGGAGAAAATCTATTTGAATAGAAAGAAAGAGAAGCAAGACAAAGAGAAATTGTTACTTTTTTATTCCAATCAATGCGAGTAAGAGAGAGAAAGAACACCTTTTTATATCGGGTCATGAGGAAAGGGAGCCGATTGAAAAAGAAAGAAATGTTCACTAAAGCAATTAGACGTATACTTGATGGACACTATTTATAATACTAGGCTTCTTCAAGTTTATTTGGTTTTAAGATACAGCTCATAGAATAATATACTTAAAGGTATATGATTGAGAATTCCGTTACATAATGAAACCACTCTTAATTGATGCATCATTGTTATTTTGGATTTTGTTGTTATGATTATAGAAAAAAAAAAAGGAAAGTAATCGACATATACGATTATCGACAACAGAAAAAAAACTGCACATTATCATCATTTAGATGAAACAAAAAACTAACATGAATGAATAGAAAAAGAATGATGAAAAAGAAAACAGAAAGAAAATTAGATGAAAAATAGTAGGAGGGGAACATCCTCTTCTTCTTTTTTTTTTTATTGTCTGCATGAGAACATATAAACAACAAAAGAGCGGATAAGATTTTTCGATTACTAGACAAATGAGAAGAACACAAAAAAGAAAACAAATTGCATTGATAATAAGACACAAATATATCACATTTTGAATAATATTTGAAATAATAATTATTATTTCCATTTCAATGACAAAAAAAAAAAACGAGACTTTATTATACAAATTTTAGATAACATATCTTGTGTTACATGACTAGTCTCTCATTCATATTCTTACTTGAAATCGTGAAATAATTGAAGGATTCAATGAAGTTATTACTGATAAAACCTTATCAAATGCTTTTTTTTTCGAAAGAAATATGAGATAAACGAGACTTACATACTCATTCACTAATATTTACTGTTTAAAATGTCATTGAATAACTAACGAGGGAATATTCCCTATTGTAAATAGTTCTTCGACGTTATATTTCGTTTTATAAATATGTATTTATGAAATTGTGAAATCTTAAAAAGATCTTTTTTCCAATGACATTTTTATACAGAGATTGAAGATGTCTTGTAAATAAAAAGTTATCTATGTTTGTTGATATGCACAACTATGCATGATAATGTATTTTAGCAAAGAGAAGTTTTTAATGAAAGCATCTGGAGCACATAGTAGATAAGATACAGATTCTATTTCAAAAAGTTTTAATATTTGTATTTCAGTTTAATACATTTAAAAAAAAAACGTTGAGAAATATATTCTTAATAAAGCTATAGAAACAATCAATATCTGATAGTAGTGACTATCTATTCATAAATATTTTTATTATTATTCTACACAATATATGAAATTTATATAGAAAATAAAAAACTAATAATATTAGATAAGGTTAAAGTTAGCCTGAAGCGACAGTCATCATTGATGCGCGAGGAAACATCGCAATTTTTTTCGAGGTTGTCAACATGTTTTGTCTGAGAGAACGCACGAAAAATTCTTAGCTTTTCTTTAGAGAACATAAAAACTTTTCTTGATTGGAGGGTATCAGATCCCTTTTCCTTCCTGGTTGGATCAACCCTAGATAAAATCTTCTTTTCAATAAAGACATTTAACAAAAATTCATTATACCTATACATAGATTTCGAAGAATTACATAAAATATTTGATAATTGAATAATTAGATAATAATCGACTTAATCTGAAAAAATAAACAAATAAAAATCTAATTTAAAATAAAACTATAATAGATCAATTTATTTTTTATGGTTAGAAAAATATACACTTATAATCATAAAAACATAAAACTAAATGCTTATTTGTGTGTGTGTATTTTTCTTGTTTATGAAATAAAGAAGAAAAGAAAACTTTTCTTTTTTATATGGTTCAAAAATTTAGCATACGCTTGATAGCTTCTAAACAACGCCATTTAGATGGAAAATAGAATGGTTCAAAAACATGTGGAATTGGATGAATATCATAACCGCAAACACGTTCTATGGGTGCTTCAAGATTTAAGAAACATTCTTTCTAAAATAATAAAAATATTTCATATTCACATTTGAATAAAATACAATTAAGATACATACAGAAACAGTAGCAGCAATTTCACCACCAACACCACCAGTTATTGGTGCTTCATGACTTATAAGTAATCTACCTGTTTTACTAACTGATTGACATATTGTATCAACATCCCATGGTACAATTGTTCGTAAATCAATTACTTCACAAGATATATTTTCTTTAGCTGCCATTTGTGCTACTTCACGCATAACATGAACTTGTGTTCCCCATGAAACAAGTGTCACATCAGAACCTTATAATTAAGACAACAACAAATTACATATTTATACGATGTTTGAAAAAAAAAACAAATCTACCTTCGGATATCACTTCTGCTTTAGATAATGGTATAGTATATTCTTTAAGTGGTACATCTTCTTTAGCAGATCGATAGAGAATTTTCGGTTCAAAAAATATGCATGGATTATCATCTTTAATACATGATAAAAGTAATCCTTTAGCTTGAATTGCACTACGTGGAATAACGACCTAAATAAAATTGAAGATATATATGTATAGAGTGATCTATAAGCAGCTTTTCGGTAAAAAATTAGAATATATCCACTCTATGGAACTAATTATTGTTTCATGATAGATCAAACACTCGAGTTTTTGGTTCCATCAAAACTCAATAACATCATAGGTAATAACATGAATCTAAAATTTCGAAATCTGTATAAAATCAAGCACCAATGAGAATAGTCAAATTAACTTTCGTTTTCACATCATTGTACTTAAGACAAGACAGATATCTATATCAGTAACATTTCACAATGAAATATATTCGTTACAGAATTATTCTCAACACTATAAAAGTAAAATTTGATTGTTAAAGCCTATGATGATATTTCAAAGCAATATTTATAAATGTTGTTCTTAGGAACTACTACTATCTTTAGTAATTAGCGGGACCAATTGTTTTCGATCTCAGTCAGAAACATTTTTAGTTCTGGTTTCATACTTAGTAATACATGCACTAGCTTGCAACGTGATATGATTTTCTAGCAATGTTAACAAGCTTGCGACATCTTGCACGACCCATATGACAACTAATATCTTTCTTTTTGGCGGTATTATTTTATTTTTAGTTAACTTATGCTTCATCTATTTTTGCATGATTATGTGTTCTACACCTTAGTTGTTTACGAAAAAAAAAAGATTAATTTCACTATCAAAATCATAATAATAAATATTGACGTGAATGTTAATCTATAGTTTTGGCATTAACTTTTAGAACACATGAGTCATAAGAATATGACATTTAAGGTAAGTTTTGCATGACTATCTTGCTCATATCTAACTATTCTGTATATATATATATATATGTCTTAATCATAAAAAATAAAATAGAAATCCTCACTTTAATGCCAGGTGTATGCATAAATTGTGCTTCAGGTGATTGTGAATGATAGAGTGCACCATGTCCAACAGCACCCCATGGTGAACGAATAGTAAGACGACCACAATTAAATAAATTCTGTGAACGATATCGATATTTAGCTGCTTCATTTACAATCTAAATATTAAAAAGAAATAAACAAATAAATATAATATCAAATAAATTTATGATTTGTTTATTACTTGATCATATGCTGGAAAGATATAATCAGCAAATTGAATTTCAGCAATCGCTGTTGTTCCAGCAACAGCTGCACCTATTCCAAAACCAATTATACCTTGTTCACATAATGGTGTATTAAATACACGATCAGCACCTGAAGTATAAATGAAATTTATAAACAAAACATGTTTTTCGTTTTTTTTTCTTTGTACCATATTTGGGTCTTAAGTCTGCTGTACATCGAAAAACACCACCAAATGCAACATCTTCACCGAATACAACTCAAATAGAAATTAATCATAATATAAAGAATAATAATTATTATAATAAAAACTCAAGCATACTAGCTGTATGATCATTTCCGAGTGTGATGTCAAGCGTATTTTGAATTGTTTGACATAGATTCATTTCTTTGGTTGGACCTTAGAAAACACATATATTCAATTTTCTATGTTCAGAGAACAAAAAAAAACAGAGGACTATAACTAACCATGAGATGGATCCGGTTGATCTTTGAAGAAAGTAAAATGAGCAAGACGACGTCGTAACAAGAACGACGAACATGTTGATAGGGTAGGTATTAAACGATGAATGGACAAATTCATAAGTGTGAATAAAAAATCTGAACAGAAGAAAAAAAAATTATTAATCGATTGAAAAGTAAATGTACAATACGATGTACGGGTCAACGAGCCTGTTTGTTATACTCAATCAATCAGTTATATCAACAGCCACCATATGTGTGTGAGTCGAAGAGGCTATAAGATTTTCTTTTTTTTTCAATACGTGTATCATTAACCAATGAAAAATCGAAAAGATCGAAAGATGGCATTTCAGGTAGAGTTGTACACACTTATATTTTCTTATCATATTAATTAATTAGAATAATATATTAGATTAATTTGATCATTAAACATTGGAAAATATGTACAATCATAATTAGATATCGATTGAATATGCAAAATATTTATGAAATTATAACGAATCTATAGTCTTTATCAAAAGAATTATTGAACTGTAAATAAAATGAAATATAGAATAATAATCAAATTTACGAATAAAAAATTTATTAATAGGCTCAATCTAATTAAGAATAACAACAATAGATCGCTCGTTCTTTTTTTAGACTTGCAAGTAAGACCGATCATTATAGAAAAATATTGTCTCAATGGGTCTACTGATGTTATGTAAACTTATAATCAATACTATTACAATGATTATTCGCCAATCAATTTTCTTGCATATCATAGTTAATTTTTGTGCAATCTGATACTCTAATGTACTGCTTAACCCTTATATGGAGAAAGATATTTTTGTTTGTTTCATTTCTGTTATTGAGAATAAGTCTATAGAATTATTAAAAAATTGTTTTGTTAGAAAAGATCTTTCCTATGAATATTTTGACTTTGCATTCCAGCAAGAAAAAGACTTTTTCTCTTTATGGAAAGACATATAAATATTCCGAATGACGTATAAAGAAATCGATTAATGTAAACAAACTTTCCCAAAGAAATACGATTTATCGTAGTATTATCTAGAAGAAACAATAATAAACATCTTGTCTTGTTTTCCGGTCATGATACATTATTTGGTTACTTATAAGTTAATTAGTGTAACGGGAAAAAATACATATATTACAATGAACTTTTGTTGGATACCAAAAGGTTCTAGTTACCTAGTTTTGTATAGAATTTCACGTTTTAAACATCTGTGGAAAATTGTGTAATTAATATGACAATACGATGACAACGTTTAAGGGATAATTAATAGATGCATAATGTCTGCATGTAGAATTGTCAATAAGGGAATTTTTTAGTGTCATTTTCCATGATTTAATATCATTCTATCAAATAATCTATGCGGTTTTCACTAATATTTTACGTACATGTAAGGGATCTTATTCAGAGAAATCAGATGAATTTAATTCATAAGAGAGTTACTATAAACAAAAAAAGAAACATGTAATTTGATTGTAACTTTCAAGAGATTCTAAGAACAAGCAGATCTATTTATGAAATTTCAGATTTAAATTTTTAATTCAATTTGTTTCGAAAAAAATCTGGTTATAGTTCGTAAATAGGCATGTTACAATTCTAAAACCATTTGATATTAATCGACATTCGTGTTGAGCAGTTTTTAGTATTCGTTAGTGTCATTGCTAAATACCTCAAAACCGCATTGGTATTGTGTTATGTCTACTCCAAAATTTTGATTAGAACGTCTTGAATAAGTATCCTTTTAGAATTTTCATAGACTCATTTATATCTATTTATGCTCATCATATACAACTGTAATTTGTGAGACATTAGAACAGTTCGCATATCAGTTATACGAGATTTATTACTATGATTTCTCTTTTTTATGACACAATGAATATAGTCAATATCTATTGAATGGCATTGTATCAGTTCAAATTTTTTTAAGTTTATTCTTACAATGAGATCTCCATATGGTATATGCAAAATATCAATGAAAATGGCATAGGTCAGCCGAAAAATTTTCCATATGAATTATTATTTTTTATTAAAATATGTTATTTTCAAGGTAATAAAATACTTATGCATAATTTCTAATAGAGGTTAAATAGCATTGCGGGTGTATATATGTAAAAAAAAATAAAGCAGTTCTTATAAATAAATGCAGTTCAATTATAATTTGATAGGTACTTGAATATGAAGAAAACCATCACTTTTAAATTCCGTTTTTAAATGATCAATTTCACATGTCGGAAATAGAGTTACTTGACGATAACTCTGTTCAGCTAGAAATTAAACAAGAAAAACAAGATCCAAAAATAGATTAGAATTCATATTGAAAAAAAAGGAAACATAGACATACTCATAGCTTGACCAGTGCTCGTCAATATTTTATTTTCAATATCAACACGTAAATTATGTCCATTAAGTGTAACTTTTAATTGATCAGCTTTTGTACCTGGTTTTGTTTCTAAACGCATATAAAGAATTTTCTTTCCATTTGCACCATCAATAATCGATGGATTCCAAGTTTTATTTTGAAGAAATTCTTCAAGTGTAAACATATGTCGTTGATTACTAGTAGTAGTCTAAAATGAACATGTAAAAAGAAACAATAAAATAAAATAAAATATTCTTTCAAATACTTGTGAACCACGTCTTTGATTAGTATTTGATTGTTGTACTGTTGATTGTGTCGATGTATTTGAAGTTGTAGATAATGATGAATGTGTATCCTTGTTACTTGTTATTGGTACTGAAATAGGTTGACCAAGACTTGGATCAGTTGTTTTTGTTACAGAAACTTTTCGTTTTTGAATTGTTATTGTACCACCAGTAGCTAATAATTCTGGTGGAATTTCAATTGGTAAATCAGACAAATCTAGCATAAATAAAATGTTTTGATAACAAAAACAAGAAAATTTTATTTGAATCGTATACAAACTTGATAATGTTGAATTTGTTGTTTTTGTTGTTGATGTTGTCATAGGTTCATTGATTGTTATTGGTTGATTACCTGTATTTGAAAAACGTCGTTCAGTTATATGTATATTAGATGCTTGTGTAGAGCCTGTTGTTAAATCGGCACTACGAAGTAATTCTGTTGCTTCAGGTGGAAGCCCTATTGACCCAGATGATGTTCTTGTTGTTGTTGTTTTTGTAATTGATGTTCTGCGTAGTTGTTGATCTTGTACTGGTAAACTAGATGTATTATTGAATGTAGATAATAAGCCTTGATTATTTAATGCATTGAATTTATTTAATGAAAATGATAAACGACGTTGATCATTAACATTTTGATTAATATTTAAATGATCAATGGCTGGTAATTGTTGTTGAAAATGTGGATTAAGAGGAATTTCAACAACTAACATATGAGCTGGTGTTATATATGATGCCATAGTGTGAACATCAGCATTAAATGGTAAATCAAATGATTTTTCAAATTGTTTTTGTGTATAAAGTCCTTCACTACGTTCTTCATAAACACCTGTTATTGTTAATTGATGATTTTGAATATAGATCTAAATAAATAAAAATAAAATAAAGAATTTTTGTTTTTTTTTCTTTTTCTTCATTTACTTTAATTTGTTCTGGTTGAAAATTTTCAACATCAAAAGTAATACGAAATTTTTCTGCATCATGAGAATATTTTTCTTGTGCAAGTGTTTGATTTGGACGACTTAACCATCGAATATGCTGATCTTGACCAGGAGCATAATTAAATGCGTCAAACGAAATATCATTCTTATTACTGCTGTTAGTTACGGAATTATTACTCGTACGATGAATTGGAACGCTTTGAGATGACATTATTTTTTATCAGTTTTTCTTCTATGCCGTTTGTTATACTGTTGAAAATAAATGTCTACAGTTATGTCGATTGTATATATATATATTCTTTTCTTGCTTTTTTTGTGGGTCACATACATTGGTATGATTATGACAAGGAAATAATGGGTTAAAAATAGAACAATAAGAAAATAATAGCAATCAACAAGAATTATTCAAAGAAAAACAATGGATTCTACTTTCGGATGATACATCTTTTGCTTGTAACTATCTATACATCAATAATATTTACCAAGCACTTTTCAATCAATTCTCTACGATAAATTTGTCTTGTTTTTTTTCTTATTTAATTATTGTGGTCTGTTATTGTTAGTAATGAATGATTCTATTTTAGGTTTTTCTTGGCGTGAAAAATACACGTAGATAATATAGCTGAAAAAATGAATTTGTATATGATTACAATATTGCTTGTTTGTACTTTGTCTCATTATATTTAGGTCTAACCCATCAAGAGACATGGAAAACATGTCATTCTGTATAACAAGAAAATGTCTTTGAGTAAATAGTATATGAGACATTCAATACAATGAATTATGATATAAAAATATGAGCAATATAATTGCAAGAATTTTTTCTTGTAGATATTTTTGAAAAACGTTTGATTTTTATTCATTGTTGTTCACAATGTACTTTTATATTAAAGACAAGTATGAGCAAATATAATAAGAGTTAAGATAGTCTTTTTCATGGAATAAAACAGAAACTAGATTGTTTTTCTTTTAGACAATACGTAAAATAACATGTAAACCCGAATCTGAATCAACTACACCGCTCATTTCATTGACATCTAATGCAAATGAAGCTTCTTCAAATGCTTTTTGCATTGCACCACGACCAAACATGCCAAGATCACCTTTAAAAATAAACGATATTAAATATAATTCATAGAAGAAGAAAGTAAACATTTTACCTCCACGTTGACCTGAACTACAATCACTTTTATCTTTTGCAATACGACGAAATGTTGATTCAAGATCATTAGCATTGTTTAATTCATTTATAATTTCTATCAATAAATACAATAAATCAATAGATATATATATAAATTCTGTCAAATACAAACCATCAAGTCTATTTCGAGCTTCCGTTTTACTACGTGTGATTGTTTCACCTTTATAATTTTTTGGATTACGTGAACCTGTATGTTTAACAAGTATATGAAGTACCTGTACTTGATCGCCATTTGCTGCTTTTCGTCCGCTTGATGATTTAGTACTCATGGAATTTGGATGTTCCCACTGACTTTCTTTTGTTACTGGGTCAATATAATATTCTTTTCCTATACATAAAGTAGACTATAAAATTTTAAGACACTTTTTATTATGGTGTTTTCTGTGAAAGGAAAGGAGGTAAATGCGATATTTTGACCATTATATCGTTTTCGAAAAACAGACAATTTCGAAAAATTATTATTTATAATAATTAATAATTTCTGTCAATTGCTCACCAAAGAAATGTTTTGTTATCAACTTTGGTCTTCAAGAATTTGGTTAGAAAAATATTAACGACTCAACAACACTATATATTATTGTTTTCAATAATTCTTTATAACAAAGTCTTTTAAGTAATTAATTAAAATTTAATTAGTACTCTTTTAACAATTAAAAAAAGTGAGCTCTAAGCATAGACTTCGCAACTTCAAAAAATAGCGCAATTTATAGAGTAGGCTTTGTTTTATCAAATGAAATTCTATATAAATGTAGTAGACTCTAAAGCTCTGAACTCTATATTTTGAGTTTACTTTTCTTAATTATTGATAGTACTGATTAAATTTTAATTACTACTTTAAAAAAAACCATGCTATAATGAGTAATTGAAAAACAAAAATACTCAGTATTATTCAGTTTTCAATACTCTTTCTTACAGAATATTTGAAGATGAAAATTTATGACAAAACATTTCTCTAGTTAATAATTAATAAAAATTCTTAATTCTTAATATTAAATTATTATAAATAATCATTTTTCAAAACTTTTTATACTAAAATGTAATCTATTCGATTCTGTATCTTAATGTATATATTTAAAAATTGTCCTTGCCTTTTGACAACGATATAATTGTCCAAATACTAAGTGTCTTGAACTTTAGCCTATCAAAGAAAAGCAAAATTCCCTCTTTTTCTTGACATTACGTCAATTACATCAAGAATGGATGGTTTGTGTACACATTGACTCTAGCTTTACATAATACTCAAAATACATCATTGACATCTTTCTTTTTCATAGAAAAGATCGAAGTAAAAAGCGTCTTAAACTTCTGCGATTCATTTTATTTAAGACTTGATATTGATATTTAGAATCTTTAAAATAAAAGGCATACCAGTACGACTTGAAATTTTTCTAACCCAACCTGGTGGTAAATCAGACATTTATTGTAAAACAAAAACAATGAGACAAATAAAAATCTGAAAGAAAAACAGAGAATTTTATACATGCCTCTTGATTACATGACTTAATAAAAAAAAAAGAATGTTCGATTAGTTTTTTTTATTTTTATTTATTAGATTTCAATCGTTTTTCTCTTAATTTTTTTTCAATAGAATTCATGCTTAGTTTATTGTTTGGAAAAAGACAGAAAAAAAAAAGAAAGTAGAAAAAAATCTGATACACTTAATCATTACACACAAATATCTGTTGAATAACACAAAAGGAAAAGAAAAAGGAAAAAATTTGGAAAAAAAATATCATTTATGTTGTTCATAAATATGTGTCTATGTGATCGATACGATCTGACGCATTTACGTACAACAGAATTTTTTTGTTTCTAATTTAACAAATCACACATACACAACATGTTGTTGAGCATATCAGAAAATTACAGAAATAGAAAAAAAAGAAAATTTAAATACACACAGAAATATCATGTCCGATAGAATTCAATACACAAATGCACATTTTACTTGAGCATCATGTTTTTTTTTGTTTTGAATGCAAGAAAAAGATTATTTTGTTTTTACTTGTCATCATTCATGCTTGTTGTATTAGTTGATGGTGGCCAGGTTGTTGCAAAATCATCAAAGCCACGTGCAAATGGATATAGACTATCAGTATCCTTCTGTAAATTAATACCATCATTTGAACAAATTAATGTTAATAGTCGAATCATATTAATTTGATGTTACAGTAGACGAAGTACAAGATGGTCAGACAGGACCGATAGATGTATGACGATAGATTGTCGTCGTCGTTGAATGAAAATGAGAATGATAAACAAAGGATGAAGAATGTAAAAGAGAAAACAGGAACATAGACATGAAGACTATACTGCTTAATTCTATAGTGAAATGCATCTCGATGGACGGATAATATTTTCTTTCTTTTCGTTTCTGTGTTTACTTCATGAAACACCATGATGATTATTTATATGTGCTTATATTGAATGTAGAACGAAAAAAAAAGAAGAAGTGTTGTTTCCAAGCGTATACTTATTGTACGAAAGGTATTTGAGTCGAAATATAATTTTTAGTCTAGCGAGTATATTTTAAAATGTCGCATACTGTCTTTTTCAACAAACAAACATTCATGCATAAATATGGAATGAAAAAAAAAATGGATATTTAGAAGATCAAATTTTCATTCATAGTAACAAGTACTACATAGAAAAAAAAAAGAAGAAAAGAAAAATGTGTTACAAACAATTATTATTTGAATAAGTTATTTGATTATTGCGCACTTCGATCAACATCTTTTAATCCACCCATACAAATATATTTCAAATTAACGTAATCATCTATACCATATTTTGACCCTTCTCGACCAAAACCACTCTGTTTGATTCCACCTTTTTATGCAAAATACAGCATAAAAAAAAATGAACAAAATAAAAATTTAGATTTATTACCAAATGGTGCTTCTACAGATGAAATAATGCCTTCATTTATACCGACCATACCAGTTTGAATTCGTTCAGCAACACGCCAAATTTGAGATATATCTTGACTATAAAGATAAGCTAAAACAAAACAATCAAGAAAATACTTTATTGAAATTTAAATTAATATTTATATACCGGCTAAACCAACATCAACTGAATTAGCAATTTTAATTGCTTCATCTTCAGTTTTAAATCTATGAACATAATGAAAAAGAAATTTGAAAAAGAAAAAGACTCTCTCTATTGCTTTACTTGATAATTGCAGCCACAGGTCCAAATATTTCTTCTTTTGCAACTCGCATCGATAATTTGACATCTGCAATAACTGCTGGTTCAACAAAAAAACCAGAAGTTTTTCCTTTTTTTTCTTTTCCACCTATTGATATAGAAAATAATTCTTACATAAATATAAACATTACTATTCTAACCAGTAACAATTTTAGCTCCTTGTTCTTTTGCATCTGAAATAAAATCAAGAACTCTTTCATATTGTTCTTGATTAATAATAGGTCCTAAATGTGTCTTTTCATTAAGACCATCTCCGACCACTTGTTCTTTGCTTTTTTTTGCAAATTCACTAATAAATTCATCATAAATTCCCTAGATAATAATATTAAAATTTCATTTTTACAATAAAAAATATAAATTCTTACTTCTTGTACAAGAAATCGATTTGCACATACACATGTTTGTCCTGAAGCACGAAATTTTGATGCCATAGCACCTTGTACAGCTTGTTTAATATCAGCTGAATTAAAAACTAAAAATGGTGCATTACCACCAAGTTCTAATGATATCTTTTTTATTGTTGATGCACACATAGCCATAATCTTTTTACCAACTTCAGCTAAATTAAATAAAGAAAAGTATAAAACATCAAATAAAATTTTAGTATCTTTACTCGATCCAGTAAATGACATTTTTGAAATTAATGGATGTTCACATAAAAATTTACCAATTTCAGCTGAACGAGTACTTGTTAATACATTAATTGCACCATCAGGAAATCCTGCTTCTTTAGCTAACTAAACAAAGAAAAACAGAATCTATATTTTTTCTACAATAGTTCATCGAAAATTTGTATCTTT